GGAAGTAGTGAAGTATTAGCATGTGCAATAGACCTTCTCTGAGTTTTATTGTCAAGAAATACCCAAACTACCCCTCCTCGAAATAAAACCCATAGCCTTTTTCCTAAACCAGTTTTTCGGTGGTGTCTCGTTGCAGAAAAGCCCCGTTCTCCTTTCTCCCTATTGTTCGTTCGCTTGCAGTTCATTGTTCTCTGCTGTTCGCAGATTCGTCGATCGGACGACTCTCCTATCTTCATCCATGACTTTGATGACTCCCCCACCGTTAGATGTATAACACGAAATCTCTCTCTCTCTCTCTCCCCCTCTCTAGCTCTATCTATCTATTTATCGGAAAATTGATTATTTTCGGTGCTTCGCTGTTTTCTCCAGGGGGCTAGTTTGGTTTATGCTATTTGTATCGGTTTTGGTGGTCTAGGGTTTGAGTTCGATTTGGAGGGTCTGAATTGACCGCAATTTCGGAATTCCATTGCGATGYTGTTCGATTTCTAGGGTTTTGATTCAATCGAGGGTGGGTTTTACTGGATCCGAGCTTTGATTCGTGCTTCTTTTTGCAGCAAGAGGACGACGAGATGTTGGTTCCCCATTCGGATTTTGCAGATGKTCCGCAGCCAATGGAAGGTAATGTTTCTATCTATAAATCAATCTGTTTTGCCAATTTTGTTGTTCGAGTTTTGAATCTCTGGTGCGCGGTCAGTTCGATTTGGTGGAGGTAATCCAAACTTAGGTCTTTATTGCACRCGAGTTGCAGTGTTTGGTMTCATGTAAATGATGGGAAATGATATTAGGGTTTTGATTTTTGAATTTCTCTTCTACCTATTAGTAGTAGCACAAGCAGAAACTGCTAGTACGGTGGAGAGTCAGCCAGTGGAGGATCCTCCCTCATCGAGATTTACGTGGACAATCGAAAATTTTTCTAGGCTGAACACCAAGAAACACTATTCCGAAATTTTCATTGTTGGCGGTTATAAATGGTAAGCGGGTCTCCCATCTCTATCAGATTTCTTTCGATACTTGAGGGTAGTTGATCCTGTTAGTGTTGATCAAGTTTGAGCCCTTGCATTGCTTTGGGCAGGCGGGTGCTTATTTTTCCGAARGGAAACAACGTGGACCATTTGTCTATGTACCTAGATGTTGCAGATTCTGCAAGCTTGCCTTATGGGTGGAGTAGATATGCCCAGTTCAGCTTGGCCGTGATAAATCAAATAACAACAAGTATACTGTTAGAAAAGGTACGATTTTTTTCCCATCTTGATATTTGCATGCTGTTGGATAGATTTCTATGTYAAAATCCTTATTTTTTTTCCTTAGTTACATACATGAGCATAGTTGTGGTCACTACTTGATTTTTCTACGTGAATTTTGTGAGCATTCGTTGTTGTTATTATTATTATTATTATTATCATCATTATTATTATTTAAATCGGTAATGTTGATTGCATATAATCTAATGTGGATTTCAGTTGGTACTGTCATAATAAATACCAGCTGTTTTCTTTCATTTATTGCATTACTGATAAAATATGTGTTATACCATTATGTCATGGCTTTGGTATATAATCCTCTTGAAAAGGGTTTTCCTTTTTATATTGGAGGTGTTTTTTATGGTTACAACTCTTCTGTCAACTTCCCTTGGAAAGGAAACCACAGCTCCTTCTACTTGGAACTATGTAAATTGTTATTGGCTCAAATTCCATTATTTTCAATAATAAGAAACACGTGGGGCTTGAGTGTAATTCAATTCTTGCATTGTGCAGACACACAACACCAGTTCAATGCACGTGAGAGTGATTGGGGTTTCACATCATTCATGCCTCTCAGTGAGCTATATGACCCAAGTAGAGGGTATCTTGTGAATGATACATGTATAGTTGAAGCTGAGGTTGCAGTCCGTAGGGTTGTGGATTATTGGACATATGATTCAAAAAAGGAAACGGGTTATGTTGGACTTAAGAACCAAGGAGCAACCTGTTACATGAATTCTCTGCT